CAAAAGAAAACTCGAGCTACAACATTTTACATTCACATTCAAACAAAGTGACTTTCCGCTGTCAGATCGAAAATGTTTTTGCTGCTATTGTACTCAAGTTACGGAAGTAGTTTTCAACTTCATTTCGATTATTATTTATTCGAATATTTTCACTTTGAAAACACTTAAAATTAAAATACAACTTGCAACATCAACATTTAAATGGGCGGATTTTTGCCATCTCGTGACGCAAATGAAACGAGAAAAGGGGACGAATTATATTGAAGAATGTATAATGACTATAAAATTAATTGAACAACGTTAATTATACGCAAATATTGCGGCCGTCATTCAATATTCAGGTATTGCTGCATTTCAGTATTCACTTGGCACATCAAATCCGATTATAACGAAAATTCACTTTCATTGCATACTAAATGAAATCAAATTGTATGAGAGAGATTCACGTTGCATGGTAAAAACATCAGCGTTTTTTCACCAACATGAAGAATACCTTGCAGATTGAACATTTTTAATGATAGCCGACCCTCTGATTTAATCTGATTATATTATAGTGAAAGGGGCTGCTGAATATTAATTTAATTTCGTGGCTGTGCAAAAAAAAATATGGTGAATAAAGTAGAATAGTATTTTTTAACTATTTTATGTTCAAAAAAGTTGGCTTTCCTACAATAAGAATTCAGTTTTGTTTATTCATTTTCCCTGCTTGGGAATTTTCATCGATCGAATTCATCAAATAAGCTACACAAAGTCATTTTTTCATTTAATTTCATCTTTATCACTGTCATTGCTTGGTTCCACAGTTGGGAATTTCGGCGATAAAAATTGTTGTGTCATTGTTACCATTTCTCCTTCCCATGAAAGTAAAATTGAATAATATGCACGTCCTTTTTCGTAAAAAATGACGCGAACAAAAAAATGAAATCGATAAAAGCATTTTTATGTTACATAAAAATGATAATGAATCATTATGTCATGCTCATTTTCAACTAAAAGAATAGAAATGTTATGGAGTTTCTGAACTCTTTTCTTAATATCAATCATTTTTGAAATTCAAATTGTTCAAGTGAGTAAGAAAATGCAAAAATAAATTAATTTTAACCTTGTTGCTCAACAATATATCAACTTTCAGTGCATTACATGAAACTACTTGAAAATTATGAAAATGTTAATTTTTCAAAATGAAACAGTTTAGCCGCGTAAAAAGTTTCACTTTTCAATTAAAGCGAATTACGATCTTTGCCTTTCACCATTTCTACCTTCTCTCTTTATTTTCTGTTGCACAATCACAACTGACAAGCGATATAACATTCATTTAAAAAAAAACGGTACGGGGCTATGTAGTTGAGTCATTGCTGTTGGTTATTTTATGTGCGAACTTCCATAAATTGCGACTGCTTTTCCAAATGTTGAATGAATAATAGAAGAAAAAATGATGGCATATTTCTCACACGGTATCCGTCAAATGGTTTTAATCCGGTTTTTCAATCACGCAACTTTTAACGAATCTTCCTTTTCTCCATCCATTTTTTTTCATGTCATACACATAAATATACACTACGTGATTGTGTGGATATACCTTGAATGATACGTACACACATAAGGTTAAAAATTTCAGACTAAAAAAAACACCGTCAAAAATCTGCATCACCGTCAGCAACAAAGCAGAAAGAGAAACAACAAGTGAAAAGTTGATTACAGTCATTTGAATAAAGTGTCCATTTGGATGCCGCTGACCGGAAAAGATAAACGTATACTGGTGACTGTCAAACAAAAAGGAAAAATGTACAAACGTATAAAATCTAAATGAGAAATGAGGAAAATAAATGTTGGTCCAATTGAATGGATCGAAAAAGTTCTTAGTTTTATGTGCGAAGAAAAAAAAGGTTTTACATTCACACAGATTTTACTTAAGAATCTTAAAATGGGTATACGTCGGGATTTGCATCATTTCCCATCAAAGTGAAGTGGCCCTGAAAAGGAGTAATTGACACATTGAGTCATTTAAATTGTTTCGACTAAAATGCGAATTTGCCGGCCGAATTGTCGATGGCAGATCTTTTCGCATCCATTAGGATATGTATGGAATTTCGTATTTGATTAAGATACGAATTTCACGTTATTAAGCAAAGGTCTTGAAACGGTTTTATTTTTCCTCTTCGTTGTCATCGTTCCGTTTGTTTTACATCATTGCCTTTTGCATTGTTGCTATGTTTCACCAAATCGATTCAGTTGCTAGGTGCAAGCCACAAAAATATATTTCTGCACAACAGTCTTAGAATTAACATATTTTTAGTTAACAACTTCCGTTTGCTGGAAGTAATTCAATTATATGCGGCGCTGTGCTCGGTTGTCGTTAACAATTATATCATAATGTGCACTTTTGCCCTTTTTATTTTTATTCCGAAAGAGAAATCATGTTCGCTGAATGTGTTAACACACATATGGACTAAATACACTATCTAGACCACATTCATTGTGTATGTTCATCACATCAGTTTTGTTTGCCATTAAATTCAAAGATGAAGCTAGTATTTAGTATACAAAGAAAATAAATATATTGTTGCCGTTATACTAAGTCCAAAACGCATATCACTGGTAGATACATTTTTGATACAGGAATATTAATATTTTAGTTATTCAATAGTTTTGCACAATATACAGTATATTCTTCTTTGGTTTTATCCAAGAATCGATGGTGCTTTCGCATTATCGAAAATCCAAACACAAAAATAAAGAACAAATCATGTTCACATGCTCAACATATCTACTTATAGAGATAGAGAGAGAGAGGTTTAGTTATACACATTTTACGGGTAGGTATATTAAATGTTGTGGTGAATAGTCTCGCTTGCTTCCGTAATGAAATTTGCTTTTTTGTATTCTCTCCCCTATCTTAGTATGTGTGTGTGTATGCTTCGTGCCGTATTTTCTGGTAATTATGACGAAAACGAATTATGTGCTGCTTTTCATTTTTTGTTGTAGCATTTTTCCGGCGCTGTTCATCACACAACACCGTTGGTCTGGATATATTTTGATTTTCTTCAACAGCAAGCCTCTTGTAGTACATTTTGTCTATTTGGATGTTGCTTGAAAAATGAAAATGTTCAACAACATAACGCCACTTAAATGTTTCAATTGGCAACACAGACATGACGATGGCTTCATGTAGAACAGACAAAAAAAAGAGTGAAGAAAGAGAATTGAAACAGATGACGGAGAGAAGATGGAAAAAATGATGCTTTATTTGATTAGAACAGTGCTGTACAACATAAGCATACAAATTATGAGGGAGATGGAATGAGGGCAAAATTTCGATAACAAAGCTTTTAAAAGTAGCTAGTTAAATGGCATGACTGCTTTTCCCTTTGTAAAATGAGAATGTATTAATAATTTGCAACTTGTTTGCGCTACATTCAAAACTGTATGCTTAAGTAGACACACACACACCCTATGCGCACTGTATATTCAAATTTGAATGCTTTTCATTCGTTATGTCGTTTTTGAGTTGAAGTACTCTCAAAAATCTACATGTACCCATTGTTTATGTTTTGTCTACTTTGAAAACTAAATGTGGCACAGAGTTTATCACACATTTTAAATAGTGTTTTCTGTTTGGATTGAAGATTAGTATGCATTCCTATTTTTGTCTTCGAAATTTAATATGATTTGTGTCACGATTTCATGGATTTTGCGGTTGATTGTAAACAAAAACGACTATTATTATCTTGGGAACTGTGTAAGAAGTGATTCAGTACATCTGTTTTTCCTTTTCATTCCGAAATGGATACAAATATCGATTTAATTTTTATACATGCTGTTATTCATTGTATTGAATACGATAGACCATTTATGAGAATTTGTTACCCAATTTTGGCGATTTAAGTGAATGATTTATATTGAAACGGAAAATATTCGTTTCACGAATGTATATGACTGATAAAATGTGCAGAATTTTATTTACCAAGTATGCGACCAAAGTTTTAATATACGTTTCTTTTCTTCAATTCAGATCAGTTATTGGCACCGCGGAAATGTGCGCAACAGTGAGTATCCTCACGTAATCCATATAACTTTTTAAATGTCGTATCTAAATACAAGAAAGAGATACACTTACAAGAAAAGTGTGCACACATTTCCGCGGTGAAAATAACAGCTCTGCGTCATTTTTTATGAATTCAGTAAATAAAATGAAATAATTAAATTTTATACGAAATAACCAATGGTATATTAAACAGGTTATAGTAATTTGATATTGTCAACATTTTCTAAAAAGGCTTGAAGTGACTATCTGATTCTAGACTGAATCGAATGCATGAATGTCTTCATTCCAATTTCCAATATAAAGCTGTAGTCAGCTAAAAAGCTTTAAGCTGAAGAAATTTTCAAGCAGAAACAGAACCATACATTAACCTCTGCCTTATTCAATAAATGGCTATCCGCGCGTATTTGTTCGTAAATCAATATTTAATGACAACAAAGGTCCAGTTAAATGAAAACAAATCGTTTTTCTGGTAACTGTTCATAATGTATCATAGTTTTTATTGTCTGTTCATTTTATGGCAAGTTGTGCTTCGCATACAAATTCGACAAATATATTCAATGTGGATGCGAAATTTTGCGAGAAAAAGAGAGGTCAGCAAATTGAATTTTATAAAATCTATGAGTTGCTTAATAACAAAATAACAACATGATATATTTGCTCAAAAAAATTGTACTCATTTTTGTTTAATAAACAATATTTTTATAAAAGTCAAGTATTCGAATCGCATTTGCGTTTGAAATGCTATAACGAATCGATGATATTTCTTTAATCAACAAAAATCATGGACGTTTGTATATAGTAAAATATGAATTGCATTGAAACCATTTAATTAACAAAGAAATTATGCAATCTTCCATACAAGATTGATTAGTCACAACTAAATCGAAAATTTGTTTTGCTTTTGATTTAATTTAAAGCAGATAAGGTTTTCAATAGAAAAATTCGGTATAAATGGAGGTACGTAAATTCACAGTACCACATTCAGCTAACGAATTCCAACTACTGCACACAGCAAACGTTTAACTAACAACATGTCGTCGAAAATTGCCTGTATTTTCATTGTATTAGTTGCTGTTGTTGCAGCATCTCAGGTATATACACAATTTTTTTCATTGAAATATTTTCGATATCGTTTTTGAGAGAACAGTTAACATTAATCATATTTTCTTCACATCCAGGTGGTATCAGCCAATCAATCTCGGTGAGTAATTTCAAAAAAACACAAGATTTTTTTTTTTTTTTTTTTCAAAACAATTCTTACTTTTTTACATAAATTCCACTTTCTAAAACTTCTTAATCATTAATTGGAATAAAGTGGGGCTGCAATGGGTACGTTTCAAATATTTTAAAATATTTTTTGACCCTAAATAATCTTGAATATTTCTTTGCATACATTTTTTTTTGATGTTTTCTAAAATATGACGACTCTTCCATAGATCAAAGTGAGTAAATTCATTTTAAAAAGAAAAAAAAACATAAAAGATTTAAAAATAATCTTAATTTAAATAGGCCGCAACGCAGCAATGGATTCATCCCGAGCAAGTAGGTTCCAAATATTTAACGAAATCTTTCAAAAAACCTTAATTAGACTCTAACTGATTATAAAACGTTCTATTCCATATTTCGTTTGGATACAGATTCTGCTTCACGTGAGTATTCGTTGCATGTTTAGTTTTTGGATTACAAAGTTAAAATTTATCATGAATATTGACAAACGGGATTCATTTTTCAAATTAACAATTTTGTTTCATTTCAAATAGGTGATTCATCACGAAGTGCAGCAATGGATTCGTCACGAAACGCTGCAATGGATTCATCACGGAATGCTGCAATGGATTCATCACGGAATGCGGCCATGGATTCATCACGGAATTCGGCTATGGATTCATCACGGAATTCGGCAATGGACTCATCTCGGAACGCAGCGATGGACTCATCTCGGAACGCAGCGATGGACTCAGCTCGTGGAAGTACGTTTGATTAATTTAAAAGATTTCTTATGGACATTTTAGATTCACAAACTTAAAATTTTGATTCACCCTTTTTTCTTTTTTTTCGGTTGGAAATTATGATAATCTTTTAAATTCAGACGCAGCTCGTTAGTATTTATTGCATTTTTTTATATTTTTAAGAAATTTTTATCCAAAGAATTTCGAAAAAGTGAAATTGTGCCTATTTTTTGGAACATTTTTTTTTTCGAAAATGTTGATTCGTTATTTTTTTTTATTCGTAATAGGTTCATCAAATCGAAATGCCATGAGCGACGCCATCTAATCCAATTACAAATATCGTGCTGAATAAACTACATTCTGATCCGCCTTGTGAATATTTTAAATAAAATTGTTGTCAAATTGTGCGCACAATAAAATTAATTGCAAACTATTATGAGTTCTTTTTAATTGTGAAAAAGATGTCACACATGACATCAAATGTATTTGTACACATATAAAATGTGTCTAATGATATTGTCGCCAAGATTTGTTTTCTGGATGTTTTTTTAAAATTGTATTCGTCTTTTCTTCCATCGCTTGATGTGAATATTAATGTGTTGCAATTAATTTGTGGCTGCTAATCCAATCGTCAATCTTTTCTGAGGTGATTGCATGATACCAATAATCTTAAATTGTTGGACGTACACAAATATGTGAACATGATATCGATGAGCGTCCGAAGTTCATCTGAATTGGGTATTCACAAGTCAAACTCTGATTGAAAGCCATTGCGAAAAAAAATCCATTTTATTTATTCCAATGAAAGCTCTTGACTTGATTTAGTTTGATGCATGTCGCTGTCTGGCACAGTATTTTCATGGTATTTTGTTCTTTTTTTCTGCTGCGCGGTATTGAATAATTTAAATGTGTGTCTGATGCTGATGGTTATATGCCTTCCGTCCATTGGTATTTTATCACATTTTCTCTTATGGTAAACGTATAGTTAGAGGACAGAGAAATGTGTTGAAGAAAAACAAATTTCCAAATCACATCCAAATGTAAATTCATTTGCTATGCGAAAGAATTTAAGGGAGATACGGTTAGATTTTATTGGAGATTCTTACTTTGTCGCTTTGAACACGTCAAAATCTCCCTGCACACATTCGCCACACTTTTTTGCATCTTTCATCCAAATCTTATTAAATTTTCACATTATTCGTCGTTATCGTGTGTATGTGTGTGTGTGTCTTACAGCTCTTAGCATTTTCTTTTGGGACAAATTCAAGAATAAGAAAATAATGCAAAAAAAGTAGATTATGTTGTGACACGACCAATGTTGTTATATGCGTGCCGTTTCGATATATAAAGAAATGAATATTCTTGGGTGTGTTTTTTTCGGCCAACCATTGTCGCCGTTCAAAAACTACTACACCACGCAGTGTGTATTCCCGTCGGCAGCCTCAAACCACTTTCAATGCTATTTGGGTATTTGTGCTTTTTTTGTTCACTATAACCGTTTTCGTTTTCTTTTCATTTCATAAACATATGGACTAAATGTAGTAAATTTTAAAGGTTAATAATATTGAAAAGTTTAACATAAATTCCGTTTCTTTGTGAATTATCGTCTAAACGACTTAGTAAATTGTATTCATTTTTCAATAAGAAGTAAATGATTATATTTAGTGTTGAAGTTTGAAAACTTTGACACAATTGTTAAACATAAATGTGTATTTATGAGAGGGTAATAATGTAACTGACAAACGCACACGTTCGTTCTAATTCGACGAAGTTTTTTCTCGTAACGGCGAAGTCAAATCGGTGAAAACTGTCATCAAATATATACATACAACCTTATTTCGGTATGTGTTTCATACTCGCTTACTCCGTTATGGCCGCATAGAATGGAACTGGGTAGATTGATCCACAGGCACTTTAGAATATTCATTAGCGTGTAGCTATGGTTGTAGACTTCTATTTCAGTATTTTCGGTAGATGTCTACGGAATTGTGACCACATATTGGAATTACACTCAATAAAAGTCACCAAATCGAAATGTACCAATATCCAGATATTGTAATATGTAAGTTGATATAAATCTATCCGGTTCCATTTTATGGTCTTACAGCTTGAATGTTTGCGCACATATATACAATGTCATGAAGGGAGATTGGTGAAAGAGAAAAAAATGAAGTGAGATTCATTGCAATCGAAAATCAGGTTTTATATCGAAGCTGCTGTCATTTTTACCACGCGCCACTTTCACATATTTGTTGCTGCTACTTGTGCCATTGTTTAAATGCCTTGTGCTTGGTGTGACTACGTTCACTTCAATTCGACACATGGTAACAGTTTTTCAAAAGCTCAAAGTGAAAAATATCACAGTGAGTTGAGTATTTGCTGTGCATTGAACTGGATTCTCTGTTTCGAATCTCAACCGAAATATAGGTCGGATTTATGCATTTTTAATGTGCGTCTTTTGAAATTTTCAACGCGAATGCAATTGGATGGGAAACGGGCGAGCGAGAAAGATGAATGTGTGAGAGGCAGACAGACAGAAAGGGATTGAATATAAGTCGGTTGGGGGTATAGCAGAGAATAAAAAAATAAAAAAATGCAATTCACCGCCGCCAACTTGAGTTTCAAAGCCCAACGCTTTGCAATTGATTGCCACACTTACGATTATATTTTTACCGCTGCTTAAATAAAAGATTTATTTCATTTGGATGAAGCATTCAGAATTGCATACACAGCAATTGTACAAAGAAAAGTTGAATTTAGAATCGTTCCCCCATGAATTTCATGTGCTTCTACACCCAATAATGGTTCGAATTGTTGTAGTTAGTGTACTTTACAAACGAATCAAATAAAGTCAAGTCATTTCTAAAAATTTCCAATAAATCGGCCCTTCGATTCATCCGACTTCTGTAAATCAATATACCATAAGGTACGCCACGTTTTCATTTTTGAATCGGTTCGCATATTTTCTTTTCGTTTTTCTCTTTTTTAATGTTTTTAATGCAAAGTATTATTATACTCGCTTGTTGTTACTCAAGCGTTCAATATTTCAAGGACCTTGTTGATGCATTTGTTTCATTTGTTTGATATTGTGTTGGTTTACCATCCCTTACGCGTCCGTCTATATTTTTTCTACTCTGGCTGATAAAAATTTCTCCGAATTTCGTTTTTGAATTTGAATGCCATGCCGAACATTATCTATAGATTCAGTCAGCTTGTCGATAAGCCAATTTTGAATATACATTCAACAATGTTCTTCAATTGTGTTAATGTTTGTATTACTTACATGGAGTGTGGATAGAAATGCACACATCTATTTTTGTATGAAGACAAATGAAGCAACACTCATAACAGAGTTTTGAATATCAATCAATTACCGAAAATTGCCGATTTTATAGCTTAAGCTGTTGCAAAAGTCAAACGTTATCCCAATAAAAATCCATTCACTGAATTCGTGTCAAGAAAAAAAATTCAACATTTTTGGTAATTGTCAAATCTGCCGACAATAATAAAATTGCTTATTCATACGAACACACTTCATATTTTTGTTTTACATGAAATGGAAATATTCTCATTTTCTTCCTCACTTTTTTCACTTTGAGCATGTGTACCTCCTGAAGTATACACAGTCACGCAAAGTGCTAATGAAATGGGTGTGTACTTGATGTATTCCCGAAACTGTATGCTTTTAAAAAAACGAATGAACATAACTTTATGTTTTGAAGCGGGAGAGTTCCTTTTGTTTTTAGCCGAATAGAACCTGTCATATTTTCTTGTTCTCTCCATTTTTTTCACCTACTTTTTTGCATTCCCATTAAGTTCTTTGCTTCGTTGATCGATATATACTATGGTGACGAAATAATGCATAACTATCATCAACATTATGACAGTGAAGTGCTGTTGTCCGAAAAAAATTCGTTCAAACAACGGTTGAAAGACCTCAAAAGAAAGAAATACGTCATTTGACTCGTATAATTTTCTTGTATAGAGAAAGGTGTTTATTGAATCACATCAATCATAAATTTGACGGTAGCCATTCTTTGCGACCGTTTGTGAAACAAAATGGACTCAATGAATTCATTTTATTTTTGGTGTATAACTAGTGACACATAATTTTCACATACACATGATGGATACGAAGGTATTTTAATAGGAATAAATTTCCATTGGAATTATAATTCATACCTATACAAACTAATTACGTAGACGCAAACAATCGATCAAATTAGTTGATAAAAATCAAACACTTGAAATGAACCAATGCCTGGTACCAAAGACAGGCGAAATTTAAGATTTTTTTTCTGATGAAGCTACCATTTCCATATTTAAATTATTCAAAAGTGGATCTGCTTGTGATAATTTTCTTTGTTCTTTTGAGTTTGAAAGAAGTTTGCAAAAAACTATCGACAAATAAAGTGCCTCAAGGAAAATTTTGAATTGAATTTTTTGTTATGTTATGCAACCGAAAAGTTCTTAGTCAGAACAAAAAGTGTTGGGATTTCATATGAACAAAACTATTCGAAATATTTGCAAATTGGTTCCGTTCAGGAATTTTGAACAGTGTAAAATAAATGTTATGCTTACCTGTTAAACGATCGGTGTTGTATTATTTCGCTCTCAAAATAATCCTTGATGGAAGCTACTCATTATTATGACTCTCCCAGTTTAGATAAGTAATTTTTGGTTCGCGTTTTATTTTCTAAAATAGGTTACGCGAAAAAACACAATTTTCTTTATTTTTTATCTCTTCTTTTTTATATGGAATAAATTGAAACTTTTTTTGTTTTCGTTTCTTTTAAAACACAAAATCAAAAATCAAACCGAACACTAAATCCTACTCAAAGAAATTTGGTATGAGATTTATTGAATTAAAAAAAGGAACAAAAAAAAAAACCAAAATAGTTTGGAATTGGAACGGATAATTCACATATATGCTTTTGATCGATTTTCGGTGAGATTGAATATTCTGCTTGCTCCAAAATTTCGCTTTATTCCACCTAAAATATCACATCGGAAATAAATGGAATGAAAAAAGGTTAGAAACTAATATTTGAAATACTTGAAGTTTAAAACAAATGAATAATTTTCATTTTAGAACATATAACATCAACATTGTATCTTTCATGTGAAAACTTGTTCAAATCATCAATGAATGCGTATGTTGGTCTGAGTCATTCGGTGCCCGATTTTTAGATAGCGATGCTATCCAATGACCTTTTTATGAGAAAATTATCAAAAGATCTCAAATATGATTTTCTCAATATTTTGCTGTGCTCTTCATGAGGACAAAAAGTTTTCGTATGAAATCTTCGCAACTAATATTTGCATTCTCACGACAGTGTAACATTTATTGAGCGAATGTTTCAAATCTACTGTATATAGATTCCGTACAAACGCACATAAAAAAACTTGCCATAATAAACGGCTACCGCTTAATAAGTCATGAATTTGATATTGCACTCAAAAGTGTATTTTACGATGAAATGCCGAAACAAACGGAATGTGAAAACTATGCATTTTGCAAACTTTATGTGTCTATATTTAGCTGAATCATGCTTCATTTTATATTTCGCGTGTATGTTCTCAATTGTGGAACCTATGATACATATGACAACAATATTGCGCGTTCGAGATAATCATCAATTTTTGATGCAAACATTTTATGCGTCAAAGTGTCAACAACTTGTGTACCATCATAAAAAGTAATATGTACGAGAGCAATGTGTTCAATCAATCTTCGAAATGTGAAAAATAGTGGAAGAACGAATTTTACTTACAGCGAAAAAAAAAATATGTGAAATTCATAACTTTAGTATAACATGTAAAGTGCTTTTGTCGACAATGAAACCGTATCGGTTAAATGATTTTGGTGCATTCAAGGAATAGTATTGAATAAAAAACCAACCGTACAGGGTTCGAAACGAAAATTATGTGCAATTTCTACATGAGCGATAAATCACCGCATCACATGCGTACCACATTTTTATCTACCTCTTGCATTTCAAATGTGAACATTTACCCCACCGCTTGTCGTTGGATATATACATTTGCATGACGCTTTGTTTCTACGGGACACACCGAGCACAAAATAATTTCATCATGAATTTTGTATGTTTAGACACAGAACCAACACAAATAAAAGGTGATGCATAAAAAGCACACGATATAATCAAAATATGGTGCGAAAAATGTCTGCAATAACAAATCGTGTTAAAAGATAAACGATTCATGCTACAGTGCGTTCATCCATCGTTCTCTTTTTCACCACTCATTTAAATGCCATAAAATGTGAAAATATGAACATTTTCACTCACCGGACCATTTTTATGGCTCAAATGTAAAATCTTTAAGATCAGGGGTGACTGTGCAATGCACAGACCAAAAAAACAACAACAACGAAAATTGCTTCGTATTATTTTTCTTCTTTTGAGGATTCGTCGATGCATTCGATTAAAGAATTAAAATGTTGCACTTTATATCTATTGAAAATATCGAGAGGAGAGTATGTTTTTATTCAGACATTACTCAGCCATAAGCGCTGAATAACTTACTCTCTTCTCGATTTATTCAATAGATATATATACTCGCATAGGAAGATAAACAAAGAAGTCTGACTTTTGGTTCGGTGTTAAGAAGAACCAGTTTGCGATTCGTTTACTCAAAATATTTCGACATTTTTTCAAAAATATGCGATTTATTTACATGCGCATTGCTATTTATAATTGTCTGCATTTGAATCTAAAACCAATATGTCCGACAGGGAGGCAAAGAAAAAGAGAACGAGAGAAAAAGCTATGTTAGACAAAAAATTCAAAGATAATATTAGCTTGATATGCCTTGAGCCAATGTCCACATTTCTCTGTGCGCATATGAGTGTTCTTCTTTTATTATTTATAAGCATCTCCAAGCTGGTGCTTCTCTGCTTACTTTGAAAAATATGAATTCTCTGTTAATTGCTGAAGCTTTGACATTGCCCGAAGCTGGTAAAGGTGCTTGTATTTTAGTGATGTGATTATCAGCATATGATCTAAATGTAGATCACACACAATCTTGAAAGTACTACAGAAACTTCGATGTAGCTATCATGCTCTGCACAACCAACGTCCAAAATTTAATGATAACAAATATAAAATCTTGATTTCATCCATAACATTATGTGCACGATGAACTGTCACCATTCTGCGTGAAACTCAGCCGAATGCAATATTTACATGACGAGACAGTGAGTTCTATATTCGATCTTTTTATTTGAACATCGTTCAACGAACGGTGATTTTATGTGCATATACTAAAGCGCTACGATGACAAGCAACGTTGCGCCATGGTGCGGTTGCCAGCGAAACTAAAAAATGGCACAAATTTCGATCGCCTAAATAAAAAATGGTACAAATTTGTGCCACCCAACATAAACAGTGGCAACCATAATGAAGTTGCTGCGTTGCCCAGCTGTCATTGTCGTCGTGCTTTGGCATATACTATGTGTTCATTGCATTTTTGGGTTCGCTTTTGAATCGCAGAAAATTGGCTTGAATTCGATCAATATTTCATGTTTACGGTTAATAACATTTGATTACTTCATAGTGGAAAATGGTTTTAATCGACACCGATTTGCGAATTGCATACCCTTTTATTGGCACACTATGTTTACGGCGCCACTTAGTGAAATTAAAGTCGATTTAAATGAGTATCAGAGTAAAACAAAGACGAATAATTGCTTTAAGAATACTTTGAGTATTTTTTTATCTATATATATCACACTGGGTCTCATTTGGTGTGTATTAACTTGTTCGATTTTATTGATGACAGACGTCAATGTGTCCATAATATGTCTCCATATAATGTGGAAATGCATTTCTCTCTATGTTCCACATATATTTTATCGTGATCACGAACTCTTTTATACATGTACCAAACAATTTGATGGAATGGTTTTCGTTTATCACGAAAAATTGCCTTTCAAATGGTTACGTAAAATGTTCATTACGTTATTTTTTTATTGGCTTGTGAGTGGCTTGCAATTGCATGCAAATTACAAAGACCGACAAAGTGAGAGAATAAAATGAAGAATGAAAAAAAAAAGTGAAACGAAAGAAAATCTATTGAATGTGGACATTGAAGACACGACAGACATGACTTCACAATTGCAAAACTTGTGAAAAACAAAAATGTCTCAAACGAAACAATTGACAAAGTGAATGACAGGAAAATAAGAAGGAGGGAATGAGATAGAGAGAGAAGTGAAGCACGCGCGGATAAAAAACAATCTGTGTCATGAACTTTGAGTGACGTTGAAAAAATAGCAAGCAGCACACGGCGTCGTTTGTGAAAGGATATTGGAGGGAAAAACACTGAGGCTCGAAATTTCTTAATGGAAGCGTCGACGTTGTAAGGAAGTGGTCGAGCACGGAAAAACGAGCAACAATAAAAAGAAATGAGTTGCAGAAAACTCACACTCACACATACACACACACACACTGTGTATGTTTGTTGAAACGAGACATGATTTTCCTTCTACTTTCACGCAATTCTCGGGCTTGCGACTTGAGCACGACCACCAAATGTACTATACTGTTTGAATGAACTTGTGTGTGTTTGTTCTTCTACTCAATTTTTCGTCTTTTATTCAGTTGACGGTGTATATTTTTACTCGCGTTCACCACTTCAATTTATTGCGCGCTATAAATCGATAAATTTCGCATTAGACACTTGAAAATAAATTATGTGTGCATCGTGCATGTGAATATATGCCGCTTGGAATGATGGCAACCTTCTTATTGATGCCACTCTTACATTCTCATTCTCTTTCTCTTCTTTCTCTCTGTTATACCCAATGGCACACTCACACACATTCTCCTTTTCGATAACCCACCATTCGTTCTGCATACAAATCAAATGGTTAAACATACATTTGGCTACTTTGTGTTCAACATATATGTCTCATGTGCACTCGATTGTGGTATATTTAATTAGGAATTTCCTTGATGTTTGGGTCATCTCATTCAAATTCACAATGAAAAGAGCCCTTTTTTCGAAAGAAAAGAATTCGAATCAAAAATGAAAATCATTCAATCAGATCGAACGTGAGTTCGAATCGTTGCTGTCGATCACGCCACATTCATTTGTTAGTGCTGATTCACTTTATTCTGACTCATTGTAGTATATTTAGCTGTGCACAATGACAACACCACACATTTAGCTGTATACACATAAACGCAATTTTCTATGGCATAAACTTTACGTAAACATTGTAAAATTCATGCAATGCATGAGATTGTGTCAGTGCGTATAAAGGAAAAATCGATTTACAGATTAACTCTTATTTTGCGATAATAGCATCCCTTGTTTTGTGTGAATAACAATTGGTAGTTACGATTTTCTGAGAGTAATGCATATGCAGCACTATAACATATAAAACTAAGTAAAATTATTGTTTATAAGTATACTCTCTTGTATCGATATCATGTCGGCGTGAAACTCATTAAAGCTGGCCATGAAATGGATGGAAAATTTTGTCTCAATTTTTGGAAAATGAATATCATCGAAAAAAAATATCACATTCCTTATGTTGTTTCAATTACAAGCTAATATCAAATCATTTCCATTTTATAATTTCATTTACATAAATTTTTACATCTGTATTTGAAGCCATCGACGTGAATCGTCTGATTAAATTATTGCGCGTTATTGCGTGTACACATTGTTGGCGAACGCAATTAAAAAGATTATGTGCTGTTTTTCTTCTATACCATGCATAATAATAATCAATTGAAGAGAGCGAGAGAACAAAAGCAGCGAAAGCATCGTAAATTTGTTAATGAAAATTGAGTGTTTTGTTCTGTGTTCGCAATTAAAAGCGTTTGTGTTTTCTTACTGCTTCGAAAATCCATTTGGCGTTGAAATTGTTGGCATTGAAAGCTTCTTTAAGTATATGAACAACAAATGTCTATATTTCCATTATATATTACAGAATGGCGAGTGTGAGGGGGTCGGTGTGGTA